AAGGAAGCCGGGTAAATGAAGGTGCACAAGACTCTTCATGCACAAGCTGAGCGGTGGAGTCAGTAGAAGTTGTTCCGGTTGAACCAGGTGGGTGAAACTCTGGGGACCCTGCCCACCCCTCTCGATGGTCCCCAGGGCCCTGCAGCCCCTCGGTCCCACTGGGGAGCCTGTCTGGCCAAGGTCCGGAAGCCTGGGGAGTCAGTGGAGGACAGTCTGGCCTGTTGCTTTCTCTCACGCTTGTTGCCCCCGGGAGGCTTCATGCAATTTCACATCACATGGGGGCGAGTTCTGAAGAACAACAGGGAGCCACCAGAGGTCCCTGCAGGAGTTCTGTTCGGGATAAAAGCTCTGCAGCCTGAAGCCCAGGCCTGCTCCTTGGGGCCAGCTCTCCTGATTCTTCCAACCCTCAATAAGGCCCCTGCTGGGGATTTTTGGGGTCACTGCCCAATTTCAGGGTCATCCAGGCCCCATGGGGAACAAGGGTAACACAGAGGGGGCTGCTTTTGTTCCGGAGGTCTTTGCTTGGGGCAGTGAGCGGGGACAGAGGGGACACAGACTGGTATCCCAGAGGCCGCGTTCGGGGAGGTCCAGGGGCCCCTGGAGCTGTGGGCCTCATGCGTGCCACTGTTCTCTTCTTATTCATCAGTTGCTCTGAGTCCTGTGGAGGCTGTGTGGACCCCTCCAACTTTCAGGGAGCGACATTTGCACTGGGGCTGGGTCCAGGGGTCAGCGCAGGGAACGGAGAGCTGCTTTCTGATGGGCCACCCGGGCTGGCGCATCTGTGGGGTCCTCAGGGACAGTGACAGCCCCCTACCCCACCACAGGAACACGATAGCAGGGCCGCTTACCCCAGGCCGGGTGTGTAGTGTGTGGTTCAGTCTGCGTGGGACTCCCAGGCTGTGCCAGATCTGGGCCAGGAGAAGGCAAGGGTCCTCCAGGCTCGGGCGGAGGAGGCGGGCACGGGTGCCAGGGCAGGCTGGGTTGGGTAGCTGCAGACTGTATTCTGGGCAGGCAGTTGGCTAACTCTTGCCTCAACTGCCCGTGAGGGGAAGCTCAGGTCCCGGGCTCAAGAGAGCGAGCCTGGCCCATTGGGCGAGCCTTTCCCTCAGCTGCTCCCAGTCAGGGCCCCAGAGTTGTTCTCCCTGACACACGCACACACACACACCCTGACACATATCACATACACGTGCACAAATGCATATCACAAACACATCACATGTGCATACCACACAGTACAACATATTTATACCACACGGTACATACACTCCACACCCCAACCCACACCCGCCCATACCCCAACTGCACACTGTCTTCTCTGAGTGAAGGCCCATGCCTGAGGGCTTTTGAGGCTTGGTGACAAGCCCTAGGGGCCACTCCTGCTGGTCCTTTCCCAAGCCTGATGACCTGTCCCTCTCATCTGGCACGTTTCACGCCTGCTTGTAGTGGGATGTCTTTTCACTTTTAGCTTGTGAGAGCTTTGATTGTGAAGGGACCAAGACCCAGTCCCATATTGCCGAGAGAGAGAGAGAGAGAGAGAGAGAGAGAGAGAGAGAGAGAGAGAGACCGATCATGGCCACACACCGGGCTGGATTCTCCCAGTTTTATTTATCCTGCTCCGTGTGCCCCTTACGTCTTATGTTGGTCACACACAGAAATGCATTGGGAGTTATGCTTGATGCCAGGCCTCTAGCTTTCATGGAGGGTCAGTACAAGAATCATATGGTTGAACAACGTTTTGGATCTTTCGTGAAACTGCAGGTGAAGACATCGCTCACGTCCTTTTTACGAGGATCCACACGATAAATTCTGTCTTGTGTTTAGTTCCAGGAGGAAATTCTATTTCTGCAGATAAATTAGTTAGTGTGCTTCCTGCTGTCAGAAAATGAAAACTATGTAACTGTGGGTGCTTCTAGTTTTGCTCAGCAGCTAGACAAGGGCAAACCAAATTTATGGCTTGTGTGTGTAATTCGCTCAGCGGTGGCTTCCAAAAGCACTTACTCCTTCTCCTTCTTTTAAATGGACTTATTTTATTTTATGTTCAAATGTCTCATTGTACTTGTGCAAGATGTGTGAGTCTGGAAGCCACCTGGGAAGCATTCGTTTGCCCACTGACTTGGCCTATTTATTGCTTGTGCTGGCTGCTGGGGCTACAAAGACAAATTCAACTGCACCTGGCTTTCCAGGAAAGAAGAGTGGAGAGCTTCAAATCATCACCAAACAAGGCCGGAGTGCCAAGCAGTGTCCATGCCTGGAGGGGGAGCAGTGCGGGTGAGGGGGTCAGGGAAGGAGTCCTCCATGGAGGGGTCGAGGTGGAACGGGAAGAGGACGCCTATTTGTTCAGGTCTGAGTTTGAAGAAGGCATTATCTGTGTCTGTCTCTGTCCTCTTGTCCTGGTTAGATTGCAGATTCCGAGGGCTGCCTCCATGCCTCTGCCCCGCTGTGGACTCTGAGATGTGGGGCAGAGTGCCCCGGGCAGTGCAGTGTGGTGGCCACACATGGGCTCTGAACTGAGCAGAGCCAGGCAGGGCTCCTGCACCCTTGGGGCCTGAGCTGCGACTTGAGAACAGTGGTATCTACTTCATGTGATGTTGTGAGCACCAAGAGGAAAATGCACACAGAGACTTTATAATCCTGCCTGGCCCACCGTAAAACACTGAAGAAATGTTTGCTGATCACCTCGATGGGATCCTGTATGGAGTACAACAGAGCAGTACAGATATGAGTATGGCACAGCAGCCTCGACTGTCGATTCCACTTGATGCCTATGTGAAAAATACTTGTTTGATTGTTTCCCAAGCAGCACAGGAGTCAGTCCCTTTCCAAGTCTGTCAGTACCTTCTGCTCATTGAAGATGCTCTTAGAACTGGCACAGATACTTAAGGGGTGACCTCAGCACCAGCTGTCACACCCAGGGCGCTCACAGGGTCCCCTCTGCTCCTCCTGCTTATTTCCCACCTTCATTCATTTCCTTGTCCACTGATTTTCAAAAGGACCCAGGCTCAGTAGGTGTGTATGTGTGCTCATAGGCTGCAGGCAGGTGCTAAGTGAGGAAACAGCCGTGATCTAGATTTTCAGCCAGGAAAGAGAGTAGAAGTCCTCGTGAGAGGATGCGGGCACCCCGAGTGTTTGGGTGCGCACACACACACACACACACACACACACACACACACAGACACAGCCCCCAACGTGGCTGGGAAAGGGGTACTGTCTGTGGGCCAGTGGTGTGGCGGCAAATAGTCAACAGTCACTCTCTGAAAACAAGTCTGGGTTTATAACATTTGCCAATTTCCGTGGTGCACGTTCGTTGTCCCGCTGTGGCTGATGTCAAGCTCTGAGTATGATGACACTGGGACTCGGGAAAGCACGCAGGGCACCCACCATACTGCGGTGTCCCCGCTCTGCAGATACGGAGCACGTCGCTAACGCCACAAACATGGACAATGATGAAATGTAGCAAGTTAATTAGGAAGTGATGAATGTTGAGTATTTGTTACCATTCTTTAAAAAGTAAAACTTACTCATGAGCTTATGTCACTTGGTTTTTCGTGACAACCGTGTTTAATTGTGGCTCCCGAAATTCCCAGTGTTCAGAGTCAACTCCTGTGCTGTGGGGAGCTGTGGATGGCTCCTGGCACCGGATCGCTGCCCTCCTTTTGACCCTTCAACATCAGTCTGTCCCTCTGGGGCCTGGGGTCGTCTCTGTAACACAGAGCTGTGTTCTTAGGAAGACAGGTGGCAGCCTCTCCTGGCTGGACCAGAACCCTTTCCCCACTGACCCCTGCCCCAACCCCAACACACCTAGGTGGAGACCTAGGAACATTAGGCGAGGTGAAAGAAGACAGAGTAACAAGGCAGACACTTAATGTGGAAGGCAGGAAGTTGGAGAGGAGAGAAAACAAAAGGGCACGGAACAAAGCGGGGAAAAGAGTGCCCGAGAAAGACAGGGAGGTGGGACATCGCGCCGGTCCCTCTGCATTCCCGCCTCTGAAGCCGGGTGGCACAGGCCAGGCTGTCCCAGAGGCCCGGGCGCTGCCTTGGCCTCACAGAGCGCTCTGTCCCAGGCTTCAGCCCATGGCCAGCAGCCAGATGGGGAGGGGCAGGAAACAGCTCCATGAACCAACAGCTGCAGCACAGGGTGGGCCTCCCCCACCTGGGACTTGGGGGTCAATGGTAGTGGCTCCAGACCCCAACAGACAACCTCCTGAGGCTCTGGGGAGGCAACCTGGCATTTAACCCCCAAATGACAGCGGTGAGACGTTAACACTTGTACTCTAATTGGGATACAGTACGCTCTTAAAATAAATAGGTATTTCACGTGCTCTCCATGAGCCTTCCAGCCACTGCGCTTTCCTTTGAAGTCTGCTGATTACTTCAGGCAGAGGGGGCTTTGACCCTCAGGCCCCTTGTGATGCTGATGCCTATGCCAGATGTAAAGAGGCTCCCAGGAGATGAGTGGAGACTGAGAACACACAGCCACTCTTCAAGGGGCCAGGGAGTGCCTGTCCCAGTGAGATGGATCAGCCCAGGGCAGAGCGGACAGGGCACCCTTGCCCTGAAAGCCAGGGCCATGCTGGCCAGGCCGGAAGTGGAAACTGCCCTTGGAGTGGAGCAGCACCTTCCACATCAGCGAGCCAGTGTCACGCAGGTGAGAGAAGGGACCAGATGTTGGAGGGCCTGGTGGCAGCCCTAGGGACGACTCTACCCCCAGTGACCTGCTTGGCTGAGTGTGGGGCCAGGCTTGGAGGCCTCAAAGTCACCTGGTACAACTTCCCAGAGGAGGCACATGGCACAGCGTCACCCTCGAAGGTGGCACTATTCAGTCCTTCAGTCCTGGGGCCAGCAATGTGGCTTGGGCTCACACTGTCCTCTGGGCATTTTAAAAAGTGAACCACACACCCTCCTCCGCCTTCCAGGGCCTTCCTGGATGACCCTGTGGCCAGGTCACACATGCCCCACATGCCCCCTCACCCCTCCTCCTGTACACAGGGCTTGGTACTCACCGAGGGCCACCTGCTGCATGTGCCGCTGTGTGATGGCGTCCTTCAAGTGACCTGCCCAAGACAGAGGAGAGTACCAATGAGTTTCCAGCGGGATGAGGGAGACCTTGCCTTGGAAGCATGTGGCCAGCTAAGGAGAACAAGGGGAGCGAGGGAGGCACAGGCATGGGGCTCCCGAGAGACCCCTTCCATGGCCCCGCGTGCGGGAGGATTCGTGGTTCACCTCAGGGTTCTGTTGTCTCAGGGTTGGAGGGGTCCAGGATCTTAGCTGGCCACTCATTACCTTAGCCAGGGCCCCACTCTCTTAAATGGTTCGTTCCATCGTGACTAATGAATGGGTAGGCAGGATGTGGTCTTTAACAGCTTAGAGTGTGAAATCCACTTCTTTCTTTCAGCTGTATGAAACTATGTCAGATAAAAAAGATAGCAGTTTTCCTTGATGATAATCTCAACAGCTGATCATGTGGTATGAAATTTATGTAATTCCTGGCTGATTAATAAAGCTGTGGTGCGGAGATCAAGAGAGGTGACAGCTGCCCTGGACTCTGCAGTGGCGAGACCACAGTTGGCATTTATTACAGAGTTTCCTTCATGAGAAACATCAGCAAAATAGAATATATCTGGAAGGCAGAGGCTGGTATGGCAAGGGTCTGAAGTCATGTCATAGGAGAAATATCTGAGGTGACCCAAGACATTTCAATGAGGAAGAAAAGACTTGGAGGGCAGGGAAGTACAGAGGTAAGGGATGTCTTTGGCTATCTGAATGCTGCCATGTGAATGAGAGAACAGTTTTTTTTGAGACAGGGTCTTGCTATGTAGTTCAGGTTGGCTTTGAATTCACTATGTATCCCAGGCTGGCCTTGAACTTGGAGCAATCTTCCCGCCTCAGCCTTATGAGTGCTAGGACTACAGGCATGCAACACCACACCTGGCTTAGAATAGATTTATTTTTGTTTTTGTCTGAGGACAGAGGTCAAGTGAAGGATGGCAGGCTGGGTCTCCATATGGGGAAGAAGCAGCTCACAGTGGGCACTGGCCCCGAGTGGATTAAGTTGTCTCAATGTGGCCTCAATCTGGCACAGCAGGGGTCCCTTCCTGCAAGTGCTGAGCAGAAGCTGTGACCACGTGCAGGGCGTCAGAGTGGGGTTTCCTGCTCGAGTGGAGCTTGGGATGCAGTCACCTCCAGGCTCTTTAGTCTCTCAGCCCTGTGATTTTGCATGTGAGAGACATGAAACTGCAGCCCGGGGTTGTTTATGGCCGGGACTCAGACACGGGTGAAAATGTCAGTGCTGTCTGCTCCCCTGCTCCAGGATGTGATCAGCCCCTGGGGGTGAGCAGAGCCTGGGAACATCACTGGTCCCTTGCCTAGTGCAGCTCTTTGCTCACGGAAGTACATTCTCAGAGCTTGTTTGGAAGTTCTAGCAGGGGAGCATGGCTACCCATACACCTTTGACCAAGGAAGCAGTCTTCCTCTATCGGGGGTGGTCGTTCTCTATGACCCAGTGTGCAGCTTTGGGAGGGACGCACATGGGGCAGCGAGGGAGGAAGGGAACCCCCGCCTAGCCAGCCAGATCAGCCCAGTGAACCCTGATGATCAATGGAGTGACAGAGGTCGCAGCCAGATGGCCTGCCCTCACATCCCGGAAGTGCATTCTCTACCTCCAAGGCCAGGGCTGAACTGAGTGTCCCCAAGAGGAGCAGACCGTGAAGTGGTCACGAGAGACCAGGTCACTCCCGAGAGCCTCAGAGCTGTCATAGCTCAGGACATGGTGACCCAGAGGGATGTCAGAGGCCACTCAGGTTTCTCCCCACCCAATGCGGGACTCCCCTCTACAGAAGGAAACCAGCCTTTCCTCTCCAGCTTGTGTGCACTGGGCTGTTCCATGGACGAAGTTGCCAGAAGGAACTGCTCATGTGACTTCCGGCTACCGGGGTTGCTCAGTCCTCAGGATCATCATGAAAGAGGACCCTCCCTCCTTGGCAGGGGACGCCCTTCACTCCTACAGGAAGCTACGATGCCTCCACTTAGACTTGTGCTCTCTGGGCCCTGGGAGGGAGCCTTGTCTTCCAAGCATGTCATCGGCTAGCACGAGGGCCTGAGGACACTGCTCCTGCCTTCCGTGTACCCTCCGGAGGGGATTTTGCACAGAGACGAAGCCAGCAGTTGGGACTAAGCCATAACTGGCCCCTCATTCTGAGTGGGGCCGTGTGGGAGCTTCAGGAGTGGGTCGAGGGGGATTTGGGGAGGTGGGACCTGGCTCAGTGATCAGTACTACTGTCCTGGAGCCAAGAGGACCTGACCTGACTCTGCACCAGCCACGGTCACATGGGCTCACCCTTGCTGTCTCCATCAGAGGAACAGAGCAGCTGGGAACACAAGGTTCGCGCTAGGCTGACTCCAATCTGCATCAAGCATGGCTGGATGGAATTGTCACAAAGCACAGCTGGGTTTCCAGCTGACGGCCCTTCAACAGCCTCCAAAGTCCCCACCCTGTTCCATTCAGAATTAGGGTTCGACAGTTGCTAAGGGCTAACTCTTGGCTTCATCTCTATGCATAATCCTCTTCAGGGGGGACACGTGGAAGGCAGGAGCAGTGTCCCCAGGCCCTCAGTCTAGATGACACACTGTCAGAGAAGGCCATTAACAACGGAGAGCAGAGGCATATTGGTGCCCTGGCTGTTTCTTTAGGGGGTACCAAGGGCTGTCCACTTGCCTGGGAACTGTCTTCCTACAGCGCTTGGAAGGTGACTTCCCCCTTAGAGCACTCACGAGGCAAATTAACCTGCCTGGACAACCACCTCCCCATGGCCGGCCTCCCTGACCTCGTGCCTGACCACGGGACCCCCTGTGGTGTGCCCCCAAATCCAGGCCTTACCCACAGTTAATGGCTTCCCTTGCCCCTTAATGGAACAACTCTTCCCCTAACCCTAGGGAAGTATTTTTGAATGAGAGGTTTGAGGATTCTCCATAGCCGCTAGCTTGCTAATGGCAATAAAGAGGATTTCACCAGGTTCTGTAAACTCCACAGACATAAATACTCTCAGAACACTGAGGCCTCCTTGGGGGACATAAGGCAGGTCTTTATCATGTTACATACTGATAAAGGTAGTTTTACAATGAAGTCAGAATGCTCAGTTTTGGTGAACTAACATTTCCCACCATATGGTATTTTGTGTGTGTGTGTGTGTGTGTGTGTGTGTGTGCGTGCACATGCGTGTGTGATATCCCCAAACAAGTTTCCAAAAATAGCCTTGTGACTGAGACCTGATTGCATTTTCTGGCAGAGCCATTCTTCAGTGAAGATAACAGTCTCTAATCTGCTGGATCTCGCAGCTCGACAGGTTTTGGCAAAGGACGGAGGTGAGGGGGATTGCAGAACTCACTCAGCATGCAGCTCGCTGTCATTACTGTGGTAATAAATTTGCTGGTTTTGGCCTAGGTTCCTGGACACATCCCCATCCAGCGGTATGGAAAAGAGATGAAACGGAAATAAAGAACTCCCAGCCTGAGGCAGGAGATGCTCTGGGAGGGAAGCAGGGAGCCCAAATTGGGGGTGAAAGACAGAGGAGGAGGGGAGGAGGGATGACTTTGGTTGTAGGTAGTTAGTAATTTTTCCTCTGGTAACTTACAACAGTACATGCTAGGAACACCTTCTCTCCCTTTTCCATCCAGTTGTTGGTGGAGTGGGTGGCAGTGGGAGGCAGTGGGTTCTCCTAGGAGCACCCCAGGGCAGATGTGTGGCCATGACCACCAACCCCAGCAGGGCACATGCCTTCTCTGTTACTTAGTTTGCAGGTATTATTGTTAGGTGAAAGCAAAACTGATCCCATACATTGATAATCAGTTTTTGGGATACAACAATTTCTTTGAACCCCACCTGTTCTGTGTGTGTGTCAGGATGAGATCACGCACAGAGGGGGAGGAGAGTTGGCTGCTGCAGGCTGCCCTGCGCTGTCTGCGATGTCTGTGTCACTACCAAGCAACACACACTTATCACTTGTCTACTATATGTTAGGCACCCCTGTGTTCTAAGTGCTGTGGAACATACAAACCGTTGGGAAACTCCATCCCAGCCTAAGGAAGTTAGCCCGAACCGGGATCAGAAAATAGATGGCCTGCAAGCTCTTTGTTTTAAATGCTGGACCCATGGCCGACCTTGCTCCACCATTGTGGTTGGTGTGTTAGCTTGCTGTGTTACTAGAATGAAACACCAGAGGAAGGCCAGCCAGAGGAAGACAAGAGGTTCCCTTAGCTTACAGCTTTGGAGCATGAAGGCCCAAACAGCATGGTGCAGGTTCTGGCGAGGGCCCCCTGGCTGATGGCAATGGTGGGATAGTGTGGGAGGAAGACATCACACTGCCAAGCAGGAAGCTGAGAGAGGTCTGGGTCTCACATCCTCGAGGACTTCCCACCAGCTCCCACCTTCCAACACTTGCTGAAGACCAAGCTACTAATAAGTGAGCCCACAGCAACTGTTTTTCTTTTCTTTTTTTATTATTTTGGTGTTTTGAGATGGGGTCTTGCTATGTAATTCAGGCTGGCCTCGAACTCACTATGTAGCCCAGACTAGCCTTGAACTTGCAGCAATCCTCCAGCCTCAGCCTCTTGAGTGCTGGGATTAGAGGCATGTACCACCATGCCCAGCTTGGTTTGCTTTTCTTCTGAGTCTGAGCTTGGATCTTCAACACAGTACACCAGCCAGCTAGAACCAATCACTTGGAGTTGCCATTCAGTTATAATAGGAAATAATTACAAATGTAGAGGTAGCCAGGGATGAGTTCAAATGCCAATTCTCTTACCTCTTAGTTGGGTGAGCTACTGAACTACCCAAGAGCCTCAATATCATCACTTGAAAAATGAGAATAATAATATAACCACAATAACATCTGCTTTACCAGATCTCAAGTTTCTTGGGAGGAGGCATATATGATATGCCACACAAGTTTAGTTGTTAAGGCACTTTCAGACACTGAAGGATACCACATTATTAGGACGACAGGCACTGAAGGCCAAGCTGCTGATGTCAATTCAATGGTAGGGGTTAAGTTTAGAG